TCAGCCAGCTCCATGGGCTCAACACGCACACACAGCTGATTGACCTCAATCACCCCTTCCCACTGTCTATGCACTGCTCATGTGACTTATTCACCCTTCCTTCTACAAGTTCAAATACCTTAAACTTTTTACTAGGCCAATGTTTGCACTCAACTCGGCCAAAATTCCCACTGGCCCAGGATAGCTTCATTAACGTATCTCTAAATTTTTGATTAAAAGTTACCCGGATCTATTATTTACCATAATGAAAGACTGAATAAAAATGAAAATGGAAATGTATTACCTACGTTTTTAAACAGCTGACATTATAGCAAAGTACTATTACTAGTGGTCAATGGGTCTACAAAGAGTTAATGTACTACAAAGAGTACACACATGTATTTCTGCCAGAGGATCAGCTTTACAGAGGGAGTAAGCAGTGAGCAGAAGGGGATATATCAGTGGCTGAGCAGCAGACAAAACCAAATTTTGTCTTACAGAAGATGGAACATAATTACAATGTATTTATTCCATCACTCTGTGCATAAGCATACTAAACACACATAAACTGCTTATACTTTCAAATACCTGTAATATTCTGAGCCCTTTTGAAACAAACACCCTTTATGGATGTCACCATACACCTGTGCTGACTATATCACAAGCCTTTCACTCAGTTTGCCAGTGGAGAAGACAACAGTATGTATCTTGAAATCACTTGTTTACACAGTAACTCCTCTCCTGAAACAGAAGGTCAACAGACAACACTCCAAGAGCAAAGATAAAAAGTATTACTGCTATTCATAACCTTCGTCTCCAGAAACTATTCAAGATACTCAGCCAGTAAATCATGTAAACCAAATCAAACAAACCTAAGTTTTCTAGAAAGAAGGACCAGAAAGCCTGCAAAACTTCACCACCTGGCAACGATCCTCAAGGCAGCACACAGCATGTCCAGCCTTCCCTAGAGATAGAAGAATTTTGCAAAATCAAATCCATTCTATTAAAAATAATTCTAGACTATCAATCATGAAGAAAAAACCTATGTTCTCTTCATCTTTTAAACATCACAATATATGCTCATGCTCTCTCTCTGTATGCATACACATACGCTATGTGTACATGCATACATTATATGTATGCATATAATATATTTACTTTTAAGTTCACCGAGTAAGAAGAGTTCACACTTGTAAAAGCAAATCCTTCCTTTCCTTTCACTTGATGCCAACATCTGCACTCCAGGGAAGGAGCTCTTGAGCACCCCTACCAAACCATGGCTACACAGCTCATGGAGCAACCCGAAGTCAAGGCCATTGACACCAAGAATCTGAGGCAGGGTGCAAAGGCAGTGCTACGACTCTAAACCAGATCCAGTTAGGAGCAAGCACCACAGTGTTGTAGTTTCTCGGTCAGCCACCAGTGGGAGGCAAGTGCTTACCGTGCACCGATGTGGGACCTGCACCCCAACTTTCAGTTGGGTAGCTACACCTACAGTCCATGAAAGGAAGAAGCAGGGCACAGACATTTTCACACATGCTCACCACCATCTCTGTTTCAAGAAAATTCCGTTTCTTTTACAAATGAAGAGAAGCTCAAAATTTCAAAGGTGATCTTGCTAATAAAATTGTGACTGTAAGCTTAGCTGGCCACAGCATTGTTTAACAAGCCACTGGATTTTTTGACACTGCACTTGTTGCTACTCAAAAAGAGAAGAGGATAAAACACACAAAGAGCAGGAACTGTTACCACTTTCTTTCCACTCATCTAAATTTGTCCCCAACAGGTTAATGGAAGTTTTACTATTTATTCACAGGAGGTTAATTGGCCTGGGGAGGGGAGGGTATTAGGGGGGGAATTACCCACCTATTAAAAACTTCCAACCTATTTAAAGTAAAATTTTGCTAGAATCACTTTGAAATATTAATGCTGACTGTGATACATTTGTCCCCAAATGCCCTTGTCTTTTGATGACACTTTAGTGGCAGTTTTAGAATCTCAAAACCAATCTTGTTAACTAACTGTCATATTCAGCTAAACAGAAATGGTAACATCCTCAAAGAAAAAGTGACAGTACTCTTTCCATTTCATACAGAAAAGGTTGTAAAATTACTTTACTTATTTCACTGGGTTATTTAAATATACAGGTATGTATTTTTGCCCACACTATGCCTACATACTTCAAAACCAAGATAAATTAACAACAGTTATTAAAGCAAGGAAGAAGTTAATGGAGTGATAGGTTTGAGGTTGGACTCAGCAAATTCCACCTATCTTCAACTGGAGTTTTAGACAGTCAAACAATTAGGCTCTCTCAGCAACCTTCATGGAAAGAAAATTACATTCTCTGTGCTACTGAAAGATAGCAGTAGCTTTTGAGAACGCATCACTAGAAAGGTGCTAAAATAAATGCAGTGTTAATGGCAAAGTATAAACAAGAAATCATATACCCTTCCTTTTTATTAGTGGGCAGTAACACATTAGCAGAATTGATTTGAAACTGCTTATTTCTGATGCTTTGGACATCCACAGCCCCTGTCCTTCCTGTGTGCAAATCTCTGATCTGACATCTGCAAAATGAGGACCATAACAGGAACACATAGCTACCAACTGTGATATCACAGAATCTTAGGAGTTGGAGGGGACCTTGAAAGATCATCCAGTCCAACCACTCTGCCAGAGCAGGATCAGCTAGAGTAGGTCACACGGGAATGTGTCCAGGTGGGTTTTGAATGTCTCCAGAGAAGGAGACTCCACAACCTCTCTGGGCAGCCTGTTCCAGTGCTCTGTCACCCTCACAGTAAAGAAGTTTTTCCTCGTGTTCAGATTGAACCTCCTATGCTCCAGCTTGCACCCATTGCCCCTTGTCCTGTCATTGGCTGTCACTGAGAAGAGCCTGGCTCCTTCCTCCTGACACTCGCCCTTTACAAATTTATAAACATTAACAAGGTCATCCCTCAGTCTCCTCCAAGCTAAAGAGAGCCAGCTCCCTCAGCTGCTCCTCATAAGGGAGATGCTCCACTCCCTCAATCATCTTTGTGGCCCTGCGCTGGACTCTTTCAAGCAATTCCCTGTCCTTGAACTGAGGGGCCCAGAACTGAACAAGTGAGCAGCTCAGCTCATAAAAAACATGTTAAATAAACAGGGATGAATATTAATTTTTCTCAGTGATGTACAAAATCTTTACCCAGGAAACTTCTTTTTCCTCCTTCACATCTATTCCTGATACATTTGCTATGTACCTTTCAGGTTCCAAACAGATCAAACAAAATTCTTATAAACTGTCCCTAGTTTAGGCTGAGATCAATGTTTGAGAGCTTAATTCTACAGGTAAAATAGTGTTATTTTAACATAAAATTTTATAGTGGAAGAATGTCTATCAACAATTAAGCTCTAAATAGCTGCAAACTAAACAAATCAGTTTGACCACAGTTCAAAACTTCAGCATGTTAAAAGCCATCAAGACCCTACAAAATCCAGACAGGTAAATTCAGATTGGATTACTTAGTTCCCATTCCTGCATAAACAAAACGTTAGTAGTCCTAATGCTGTCAAGTAGCTGTCCACAGGATAAAGGTGCTCAGATACACAGACAGTTACAGGGTTCCAGAAGTCCAAATACAAACAAAAATTGCTTCCCTTAACGTGATTGCACTTATGAGATTTAAAATTGCCAGAACACTATTTTTTGTCTATTTTGTCCATTTTATCTATTTATGTCTATATGTTTATTCTTGTCTAGCTGGTATCGCAAACAAAATCCAATGAAAAATAAGCCCAAGCTCAGGATATTTCCTATTAAAGGGGTATCTTCAACAGGAAGTATGATTGGCAGCCTGTTTTGTTCTACACTGCTACACTGTCTAATGCACCTTCTCATAAGGAAACCATGTCATTTTTCTCTAAGTTTTATAAAAATTTCCCTTGTGCTATGCAGGTGTTTTATTGAGATGATAGGACTTTTAGCAGTGGAAAAAGCCAGAAGAACAAAATTAACAAATTTTATAGCTAAAATATCCAATCCTTGCGCAATCAAGAATGCTTGTCTTTATACTTCCTCTCACTAACCTTCAGCCTGCTTAGCCCTGCACACGTAATCTCAGTACATGATTTCAGTGTCTCTGTAAAATGACACATCAGAGTGAAAGCTTCATGTTTCTATCATAATAGCCACTGTGCTGCTAATTGAGCTTCATTATATATTTGGTTTTAATATTCTGCTTCGCAAGGATTGACTTTTTTCCCTTCTAGATACAATATTACTGTACAGAAGCTTCTCTCTTTATATAATGGTATGCTCTTCCATGTACATAGTAATTTTTTTTCCTTATTTTGGTTCAAGTTCCACCCTTATCTAGAAAAACATGACCTAGTTTAACAGTGGCCACCATATGGATCTTAACTCCAAGTAGCTCTCAAGGCACTTTGAGTGCAGATCCTGCACTGAAATGGCACAACGTGGCCAAAAGCTGGACAGCTTGGCAGTATGAATCCCTTGTGACAATGAAATGTGAGCCAGAGGTGCCCAATGCCAATATTGTCCCAGTTGCTTCAGGATCTGAATGTATGCTCAGTCCACAGCAGAGTACACAGCCCCTAGAGAGCTACTGTTCTCTCTCTCTTACAAGATCTTGTGGACCTTCTCCCACTCAACAACCCACTTGTCCAATATATACAGCTCTCAGACATACAAAGATTTTGCCACATACCAAATGGAAGCACAAAACTTGTCTTTACTCACTCTGGTGCATTAATTTTTAATACTTCAGGCTTTACACGGTTTACTTACAAGAGAATGTTGAAAGGATACTGACTGAATTTTTGCTAGTCACAGCAATACTCCCACTTACAATTTTAAAACTAACCTGCAAGAAAGTGTGTAATAACTATATTGCCACCAAAAATGCTTTAAGATGTATAATAATATTGGACACAATTCCAGATGTTTCTATGATATCAGTATTCACGACACACAGCTATTATGCATTGTGTGTGTGAAAGACAGAATCTCTAATACTTACAGCCAATCATCATCATAGCAACAGCGAAGATCTTCTCCCCATCTGTAGTCGGAGCGATGTTCCCAAATCCAACACTGGTGAGGCTGGTCATCGTAAAATACAGCGAGGAGATGTAGACCGAATCTTTGCTTGGTCCACCTTCCCATTTTCCAAAGCCTGATGAGTTGAAGTGGTAAGGTGTTCCTATTGACATCCCCAGCTGATAGAGCCAGCTCTCAGTTCGGATCGTGTTTGTATCCTCATCAATAACTTCATAGTCTCCTATACTGTACCAAATGCAAGCCAACCAGTGTGCTGCAAGACCAAACACGCACACCAGCAGAACCAAGACTGCTGCTCCGTATTCAATGTAGTGGTCCAACTTCCGAGCTACGCGACCCAGCCGAAGTAGCCTGACCACTTTAAGTGAACTGAAGAGGCTACTGATGCCCTAGAACGATAAAGCACAGTGACTATTAGAATTTAATATTAAAGCAACAATATTCATAACTGCAGCTTTCCAAAGACATGAGGACCATCACAAATAGCTGATCATCAGATAACACCTGTAAAGAGAGACTGTGAGACATGAGAAAGTTAGTGACCCTTTCCAGGGATGGATATACGCGCTCTTTTCTTCATCCACTAACATTTTGTGAGTTGCTGTCTGAACTCTCTGATTATTTGAATAGGTCTACAAACACATTTGTAAAGACTTCAGATGACAGACTACTTACTGCACATCTTGCAGTTGTGCAAGTAGATCAACCCCGATGCTACTTTAGGCTGACTGAAAATAAACGTGGAAGTCATTGACCATTAAACTATACAAATCTAATGCTGAGAGGAACATAACCAGACACCTATTGAATTCACTTCAAAATCTGGAGTCATGAACCTCTTATGGCTATTCCTGACATCCTTATGATCCAAGGCAACACATGACCTCTCATGTCTCAGATGTAACACAGTTTGCAGGATTTAGCTCAGACATACCAGGAAGATAAATAAGGAAGGCCAAAATGTACTGGAAATACATGGTAATTTGTAATTTTTCAGTGTAACAGTTCATTTCCTATGACTTTACTTTCATATAAGAATTCACACACTGATAATCAGTCCTCTGACATTTCTACATGGACAACACAAAGCTTAACTATTTCAAATTTCTCACTGTCTAATCCCCACATCATATTCTTTTTATAACAGCTTTATCAATGTAGTCTTTCCATGCTGATACTAATATGGCTTCCATGAAACAGAATTAAGGCAGCATGTAGGATTTTGTACTGTGAACTTTTAGACAGATTTGCAATTCCATACCCAAGAATTTAAATTAAAAAAAAAAAAAATCAAAGCCATTTGGGGCACGCTAAGATCCGAATAGCCTTTCATAAAAATCTTTTTTTTCTGCTCCCTCTTATCAAGACTGTTTCATACATAGAAGTCTGATTAAAATTTAAGCAGACTGGTTTAATGAGTATTTCTGGAAATGCATAATTGCATACTTCTGGTCACCAGCTTTTACTGGAAGTTTGTTTATTCCTGCATAAATATAACTGCTACAGTATCTTAGGCTGGTTCAATGAACTAGAAGAGATGTTTTATTAAATAATTACATAATGTTCCCCAGGACTGCAACAATGTATTTCCCCTTTATTGCATGAATTTGTCATTATTACATTGACTCATTTTCAGAGACAGATATAATTTGTAACCTGGGAACACACTATAAATTTCTATTAAGTTTTTGGACAAGATCTAGCACAACCAGGAGGAGGGGAGCAAAAAGGAAGAATAAAAACAGAAAACAGCCCAGCCTTCCTTTAAATCAGAGATATTTGCAGAGATCTAGAAAAGACCAAGTGATCTTTTCTTTCTGTTATTATTTATGTCAAACTTTTCAAGACACTGATGCAAAAATTCCTTAAAGTAAAAGTAAATTTTCATTTCCTATTCATTCCATACCCAGCTTTGTTTTGTAAACAATGGAGCAAAGCCTTGATGCATGCTCAGAGAATAGGACACAGAAGGCACAAGGCCTTCATTTCCAGGGGAGGGAAAGCAGGTGCTGAACGCTCAGTATGGAAAGGAAAAGCAAAGGGGAAAACACAAAAAACTATAACATCATAACCATGTTTTAGAAACTGGATATGCAAGTTCCCAAGTGACGAGTTCATACAGTCCCTACATTTTAAGTATCAACAATACAGCCTTCTCGCCTTTTTTCTCAGGACCAATGCCCATCTCTCCCTTTCCTCTTTACAAACTCTACCAGCAGAACAATAATGTTTTACATTTTGAGAGGTCTCCAGTAATGGCCTGCTTTTAGCTTCAGTCTCAAAGCCAAGATTTTTAATCAAGCAGTGCTTACAAGTCTCAGGCAAAGGCAGGAATTTTTTCTATCTCAACATTCTAAATACCAGTTTTATTTTTGTTCAGAAATACTGGTGGAGAACTTGCTCTTGACATTAAAGCGCATCACCAGGATTAAAAAAAAAATATGCTCTTTTTCAGTGAGAGTCCTACCAAAGACAGAAAAAAATAATGATTCAGGAAGGACTTAAAAGTTTGTAATTTGGTTAATTCTTAATTGACAAAAAAAGTCAAGGATTAGAAATACCTGAGGGGGAGAGAAAAATCACAAAAAGGGATTTTAAGAAATTGGATGTGAAAAATGGGAATACATAATAAAATATGCTGAATTAGGTTTAAAACATTTAAGGTAAACTGTTTTCAGAGTACTCTTATCCTAATCTCCCTTGTGAAATTCACAAAGAAATTTCTAAAATCCATTTGAAATGTTATAGAAGTGCATCAGTTGGGAGAAAGTGATTCTACCAAATGCTGACCAGAGGTAGAGAGAATTAGGTTTGATGTACAAAAATAGTTTGCTTATAATAAATACCTGATTGTCCTGGTTTGAGGCTGCATTGAAAGGATGCATTTAATATTCAGAATAGTCACAATATTTCACCTGACTGCATTGCCAATAAGATTCTAAAAGTTCAGAAAAAAAACTAAAGAAAAAAAATAAAATCATTTCTTTTTATTTCAGCGTTAACAGTATTTTGTATTTTATTTCCTCAGAGGAAAGGATTTGTCTGTTCTAAGTGGATCAATATCAAGGGGAAGAAATGCCCAGGGAAATAATTATTCATATAACGCTCCTAAAACTTTCTAAGTGACAGAATTTCAAATGGGTATAAACAATGGAAACTTAATAGACTGTTTCAGAGATGATACAGTAGAAAAAAATCATATCATTCTCCAATACAGTACTTTTTGTCACTAAATATAGCAAGTAATATTTCAGTATTCACAAGAATAGATCTGCTGGATTCAAAATTGACATTTTTGGATTACCACTTTTCAAAATAGAACTGTACTTTTAGATTACTGCCCATTTTAATGCTCTTATCAGCGCAGATTATTTTTATGCCTTTATCATACAAATGGCTCCATGATGTCACGCAAAAGAGCCTGAATTCGATTTACTCCTCCTGATGCATGTCCCACCCTCTTAACTCAGCCTCCTCTGTAACCTCTGAGAGGCAGATTAAGAGACCCTCAGAGCTCCTTCTGCCCAAAAGACATGGATGAACCTCAGTTTATAAAGAGCTGGCAATTGCACTATGGGTCCCAAATGACAGACCCAGATGCTTTGCTTTAAAGGATCACCATAAGGAACTTCTGCGTGGCAGGCAAGGAAAGGACAAGAGTAAGTTAAACCCCACAAAGTCCTACCTGCACCTGACTTACTCAGACACAGCTCCAACTATTGGTACTTTTATCCAATGGAAACTTTCCCCTGGCAGTATGCAGAAGCTGAGAAATCTGTTATATGGCCAGGGTAGACAAATAGTACATTTTTACTGTATTTTGTTACAGAGAGAACTTGCATGTAGCACTTTCTTAAACATGCAGCACTTAGCCAAATATGGCAGAAAATTCTGAATTTCACACAAACTTATATTTCAAATTGTTTGAAGTAACTGAATGACACTAAATAAAGATTCTACTGCTGATACCTGCATTGTAGTTCAGTTGTTCAAAAATATTTAATAGGCTGGCAGGTTTACTTTCATTGCCAGTGATAGCTGATGCATAAAAATGGAAACATCAGTAGCAAGTCCCCTCCAAACCAAAGGGTAAGCTCAAAGCACTGAGAGTCAGAAGAAATAACTTTGTATTCACTGACTGAGCAAACAAAACAGCCCTTGAAATAATAAATACAACCACTCCCCCTTCCTCTACTCCTATACAATCTTTGCAGAGTGGAACTGCACCTCAAACAATCCAGGATATCCAATTTTTGGCTTTAGCTTTGCATCAGACAACATAAAATTTGTGTATAGATACAGAAGTAATGGCAAAGAGATAGAGAAGTGACACTGTGATGAAGTACTTTGAAAACATAAGGGCTGTAAGCAGAGTAATAGCTACTTGTGCCATTATGTTCCTGAGGACAGTAACAGTGGACATTACAGTGCTAGATGCTGTACAAATAAAAAACAGTTGCTGTTGTTCATTTGCCATGCAAAATTAAATCCAACTCAGTTAATCGAATAATAAAATTCCACCTTGAAAAAAAAAAGAAAAAACCAAATTGTTTAAAGAACAGCAATAAAAATTAACTACAGCCAAAAATAAAAGTTATAAATAATTCTTCTTCCCTTCCAAAAAAGATGTAGGATGAACAACTTTAGAAAAGAACTAAAATGCAACTTTCATCCCACCTCCTACAGTTATAGTAGCACTAGCACTTGAGTAATAGATTCAATCTGCATGACAGTATTCACTTTTTAGGCCATTATATACTTTCCACGTATACAGAAAGAAAATGCACTTAACCCAAGCGTTAATTTTTTTTTCCTAGGCTCAAAGGAAGTATAATTTACTTCCTACTTACTATCTATTTTAAAAAAGAAATGTTCAGTATTGGCACAAATCTGTTGTAAGTTTTCTAGCACCTTCGTCTCATATGAAACTGCTGAAGTTGAGCATTCATCTCAGTTAAAGGGAGATGCAGGAGACTAAAAGCTCACCGTTAAAAGAATGAGAATGAAACAGAATGAAGAACTAAATTAATTATTTATCCAAAAAAAGGAGGCAATGAACCAAATTTATCACTACCATAAGTGAGGCAAGAGCCATGGAAAGCACTGCCTTCTTTCCTGACATTTGATCCTGAAGTCAGCTGTGAGGCAGCCTGGCTCTGCCTATCTGCAGTAACATGGTAGCCTTGTCAGGTCTTAGGACTTCTCATTTCTGTTATTTGCCTCTTCTGATTTTCTTAATTAGGTCTAAGAACATGACCTTTCCTACAGATTGCCATATTTAGCAACCAACAGATGAGATAACGTTATGTGCATGGGTCAAAATCAATATCCAAACCCTCTGGTTACTGCTGTGGTTTTCAGCACAGAGGAAAGCAGATCTCTAGACTCA